CATGGGACCTCATATGATATGGCCTTTTATTTAATGTACAAGTAATAAGAATAAGTTAAAGAGAACATTGCCTAAATGATGCATACTTTACAATAGCAGAGCGGCAACGGGACACTAACATTGACATTTTGTTATTAGCGGCGGACGAATTACCGTAAGACGTGATGTGACACTAAATATAAATTTATATAAATGGCATTTTAGTATACTAGAATTAATAACTAATTATTAGTTAATTAATTAATTAATTAGATAATAGTTATGGAAATTATTAACACGTGGTACCATATAGGGATTATGTTTTAGTACTTTTTAGTAAATTTCATTTTTTATTTGTAGTAGTTCTCCATTTTCGTTTGGTATTCAGGCCTTCAATGAATTTTAGTCCGGCGACTCAAGGACCACTTCTTGATTTATAAAATTTTGCAAATTGGGGTGCAATTATGCGCGATGAACGAAGCCATGCTACCCTCTAGGATGTTTTGATCGAAGAAATTTGGAGGCGCAACAATACTTGATTGTAGCATTTATTTTCATTTTTCAAAATTTTAATTTATTTTGGTGTATTTTGTTTTTTATTCTGATGTTTTTAATAAAGAGTGTCAGCCTTAGCATTTTTATTTTAGTTATATGCATTTTATTTTTTATAAAAATATGGAATTAAAAATGGTTAATAATGTAAAAACAGAGAGGCGAGTTTTTGAGGGCGATAGCATTACCGAATTTTAGAGCGAGTTTGAAAATGAGTGAAATGTGAATGTAGGAGGAGTTGGGGCAGGGCAAGATTCTCTCCCATTGCAAGTGTTCTTAAGAACCTCAAAAAAAGAAAAAAAGAATATGGTGTAAAGAAGTGAAAATTACTACGTACTTCCTCCGTCCCTAAATATTTGTCACACTTGTATTCCCGAGTCAAAATATCAATTTTTTTAATTCATTCTATTTGCATATTGGTATAAAAATAAAAAATAAAATTTACATATCAAAAAATTACATGAAAAATTCTTCGAAATAAGAGTGTCAAGAATATTTTATTCTATCAAATAACCAATGAAAACATAGAAATAAACAAAAGTTGCCGCGACTGCTGAAAAAGCAAGTGTGACAAATATTTTGAAACGAGGGAGTAATATTTTAGGTCTAATTGGTGTTTTAAATTTTAAGAGTAATGCTAGAAATTTATTACCTTTGACAAAAAGAGTTTGACACCAAATTCTACATAAACATATAAAAACTACTACGGGGTATTAGTTTGTGACGCACAAGTAATAATTATATGTATACGATTGCGAAATATTTATTGTCAATTGTCAAACTTAGTAGGTTTCATGCTTTTTTGAACTTTTAATTATGGAAAATGCTCGTATACCAAAAGTGTACCTCAAACATCCTCTATCCCCTCCATCATCACAAAAAAAAACAAGCAAAATTCAAAAAAATAAAAAATAAAAATAAAATAAAATGAATGGTAGAAAGGAGAGTGGTGTACATTTGGGGTACACATTTGGTGTACCCCTAGCATATCCCTCTAATTATCCATTGTACTCTCTATATATTACTATCCAGATCTTTTTCAAAAATTATGAGAGTAAATTATTGAAATATTTGTACTAAATAGAACTAAAACTTAAGTCATTTCTCTAAATAGCACTTAAAATATTTTGTTTCCTAAATAGCACTTAATAATGTCTAGTGATGGTAAATAATTACTTAAATAATGACTAATGTATAATGACTAAAAGTACTACATTGGGAAGAAAAACACATGTGGTACTATTTAGGAAAAGTGATTTTGTTTTAGTGTTATTTAAGTAAATTCTCCTAAATTATTTTGAACTTTAAATTATTCATAGTACTCTCTGTATTACTATTGAGATCTTTCTCAAACTTAACTCCTACATATTCAGAAATTATATAAAATGTAACACCCCAACCCGCGTAACCCAAACCCGTGAGACAGCGAACCGGTGTGCCACTGGATTGGTATCCGAATATACAACATTTTCAAAACAATTTGAAACAAACATTCTATCAATACATATAAAAATCCATCGGAGTAATTTAAAATAATGCAGAAGCCTTTTTAAAATCAAACAACTTGGGATCTTGCCCGAAAACGTAATAAGCATTAAAGTAAATTAAATAAAGAGACAGCCACGCCATCGTACATCTCCTCCTCAATGCCCTCTGGGATCGGCTCTAGGTTCATTTGTCTGATCACCTACGGACAGCAAAAAGGAAAACAACGCTATCCGCTCAGCATTGACGCTAAGTGGCACTCCATTGTAGCACAAGAATAAACATAATAATTCAACAATTAAGATCGTGCATATGTTTATCCTTTTGATAAAAATCAATTCAACTTTAAATTCGGTTCTTTAGACGGTTGACCAACAGTCAACTTATTTTCTTTCTTTTCAAACGATTTAGGTGTTAAGGGTTTCTCATTAACTCTTTGACCACCGGTCAAACCAATTTAGACTTTCACGNTTCTATGTTCAACATAATAAACCAATTGACCCTAATTACCGATTAGAATTAATTAATTAACTTAACTAATTCATTAAAGTCTTGGATTTAACCATTAGGTTAAACCTACGTCAACGGAATATCCAGTCAACGCCTAAGTCACACGGGACCTAACCCAAGTCAAAATCAAACCTGTTCAGTCAATTCATAAACCTCAACAATTCAATTCAAATAATCAATTTAATCCAATTAACCAATCTAGCCAAATTATAGCATAAACACATATAACGATCCAAACCATTAAATCTATTCTAAACGCTATTAACTTCATAGTACGGACCTGGATTACGCAGAAATCGAATCGATAGCTCGAACGGAAGACAAATCAACGAAATCCAACGAACAACGGGTCAAAACACGAAATCGAACAATCAATCTGGCATGGAGATTAATCTGCCGGCGGTATCAACTCGGGGCAGCGGCTGGATGCGGCGACGGTGGCGGACGCCGGTGTACAGTGGCGGAGCGGCAGCTGTTGGCGGTCTATCTTGTTCAAAATCGAGGGGATAGAGACAACCGAAATAGAAAACTGAAGAAGAAGAAGAAGAAAAAGAAGAAAAGACTGACCTGAGCTAAGGGCAACGGCGGCTGGAGGCGACTGGCGGCGCTGCAACTCGACGGTGATGAGCAGCGGACTTCCGGCGAAGGAGAAGCACAGGCGATTGGCGGTGACCCGCGTTCGGCGTGGCGGCGCTGCAACTCGACGGCGAGGACGACGCCGGTAATGGAGGCGACGAACGGCAGCACGACGAGGTTACCGGCCGGCAATTTGAACGGACGTGGTTGTTCTGGCGATTGTGAACCGACGCCGGCGGTGCTGATGCTGGCGGTGAGCGGCGGACCTCTGGCGAAGGAGAAGCAGCGGCGACTGGCTGGGGAAGGACGACCGGCGATGAGCGGCGACTGGCGGCGCTGCAACTCGACGGCGATCGAAAATGAAGAAGAAGAAAGTGACGATGAAGATGTGCGGCTCTCAGATCCGTACGGAAGAAGCGTAGGTTTAGGTTTTACTTATTAATCCCAATACTAGTGGGTTTGGGCTCCGGGCCCAAAATACATGATTAAATGGTCATAACATGAGCTCCATAACTCCGATTCGCGAGCCGTTTGAACCGACGCGATCACAAAAATAATTCCTACGAAATGACATAAAAGTTGGGCTTAGAATCCAAATTATAATTTTTAACCCCTTTTTGGGCCCAATTCGTAATCAATTGCTCTAACAATTTAATTAATTCTTTTGGGCCAGATTTTGGGGCGTTACATAAAAAATTGTACAAAATAAAAGGTTAGGAGAGTATTATATTTTATTGTACCATCAAAAGAAACATGTAAATAAAATAAACATAATAGTAACAACGAAATTTATTTAGATACAAGTATTTGCTTTTAAACTTTTATACTTCACATTTTGACTTTTACAGTCAATGTTTTTAAACTTTGGCCACAAATTTTTTAAAAAAATAAATTGAATTGTGATATAAATTTAATATCAATAAATTGATTTTGAAACATAGTTTGGAAATATCCTATTTTTACAGTCTATATTTATATATAGAATAATGGGGGGAGTGTCTGGTGCGCACTAGGATATGGTCTAGCTAAGTGTTGTGCTTGGGTCACCGTGATTTACCTCCTCTTACATTCCCGTCGGGTCGGGGGTGAGGGGCGCCTGGGGTGAGCGATTTCACCTTTTGGAGAATATATAGAATAATGATCAAGGTGTTGTATTGAAGTGCGAAAAGTCAAATGTGAAAAAAGACATGATCAAGGTTATAATCACACATTAATGGCAAAAGAGCAGAACACGCATCTCATACTTGCAGATGTCATACACTTAGTGTAGTGAATTAGTTGCCTTACATTGTAGTCGTCAAGAATCGGAATCAGATATCGCTTCCAAGAGAACACTTCTCGTATTGCTAACTGCGGAATATCCAATGGTGAGAGACAGGACCGATCTCGAAAAATGAAAAAAATGAAATTGGTCCGCTCCGAAATTTATATTTTGGACCCTATTTTATGATTTTAGGATACTTATACTTCAAAATTAATGATGAATCAAAAAATATGAAGCCCTAAAATTTTAGAAATCCGTGCGATTAACCACTTGGGATACCCTTTGGTCCACCCATGATGAGAGGACAAGCTTAGGACAAACTTGTGCAATTTAGGATGGGGTGTATAGAAAATGGGAGTAAATGCACTCTAACTTTCATAGCCCTTTCATTCGGTCTTTAAATCTGATTTTCCAAGTCATTTGACCACGGAGTAACAGTGTTGTAGTGTACTCCCACTATACAACTTCTTTTTTTAATTTCTGTATTTTTTTTTTCAAAATCTTTTTATTTTCTTGCAAATATCGAATTAAAATTAAAATTAAATGAAATATAGAGACACAGCTACTAACATTCACCTGCCTTCATCCGTGAATCTGACTTACGGAATACCAAAGCCTAATGGCGTTATACATAAGCCTCTCAGAGTATATATAATGGCAGTGCTTGTCCCCAACTACTCCGATCCCTCTTTTTTAGCTTCCTTCTTCCCCCACTCCCTCATCTTCTCAGTACTGCCATTTTCATGGCGGTGGAGAAAAACTAACTCTGGGTAATCTTTGAAGAAGACGAAGAAGAAATTGGATTTCTGTTTTTTGTTTGGCCGTAGATGGAGAGATTCCGGTGCAAGCTCTGTTTCAAGCAGTTTGGGAACGGGAATGCTCTGGGTGGGCACATGAGATCCCATTTGGCCGTCCTCCCGCTTCCTCCCAAGACGCCGGATTCCGTCGACGGAGGCGCCGGCCTGAGCGATTCGACCCTGTCTCTGTGCTGCTCGTCGGAGGAGGAGAAGGACGGTGGAGGACGCGGTGGGAGTGTTGGGTTGGGGGAGAACCCGAGGAAGAGCTTCCGGCGGGCGGATCCTGAGATTTTTGAGGGCGAGAGCGTGGGCGAGTCGACTCGGAATCTGACTCGGAGGAGATCCAAGCGTGCCCGGAGAATGTTTGGGGACGGGGAGAAAGGGAAAGGGAAGGCTGAGGAGTCGCGGCGGCCGGAGACGGGGACGTGCTCGTTCTCCGACGAGGAAGAGGTCGCCAGGTGTCTCATGATGATGTCGAGGGATTTCCGGGGATCGCCGGAGGCGGAGCGCCGCCGTCTGGGGAATTTGCGGTGCGAGATTTGCGGCCGGGATTTCAAGTCCACGCAGGCGCTGGGCAGTCACAGGACGACTCACGGCGGCAGGGGGGGACTCGACGGGAACCCGAGGAATCCGGCGGTCAAAGTGGACGACGCGAAAATGCATGAATGCCCGTTTTGCGAGAGGGTATTCGGGTCGGGTCAAGCTCTGGGCGGGCACAAGAGATCACACTTCTTCCCATCCCCAACGAACAAAGCAGCCGCCGCCGCCGCCGGAGCGGCAGGTTCGGTTTCGGTTTCAGGTTCGGATTCAGGCACGGTGTTGGGTTCGGGATCTTGTTCTTCAAAGATCATGATTGATCTCAACATGCCTCCTCCAATGGAGGATGATGACGTCTCTGCAGTCAGTTTCAGATGAACTCCTGAGGGTAAATTAGTAAAACCACCACCCACCTTTTGGAATTCTAATTTTTAATCTTTAATCTTAAGTTAAAGTTTGGTCCTTTAATTTTAATTTTTGCAGTCATATGAAAATGGATTGTTCCATCAATAGACATGAGAAATTTAAAGTATTCAAAAGTTCAATTTCATTATTTACCCTTTTGTTCTTCTAAAAGGTAAGAAAATTCCACATTTGACACAATTTTTAACACTAATTTATCACACACAGAGGTCATATTTATCTATTCAAAAAATTTATATATATATATGAAATATTATATTGTCAGAAATAGTGCAAATGTGAAATTTCATAAGATGTTTTTTTTTCTTTCTGTTTGTGGTAGTTGTAAGTTGTTAATACACACTTTTCTCCATGTTTTCACAATCTGAACAGTAAATATTCAGTTGCAAAAAAAAAGAACAAAAATGGTACATTTTTCGAGTAAATACTATACAGTCAATCCATTTGAGCAAGTCTTCTTCCACTTTATATTCGGTCAAACCCAATTAAAGGTTCTTGGTCCGTGATCTTCCCGGTTCGCAAAACGAAGAAAAATCTCAAGTTTTTTCAATCTATTTTATTTAAATATTGGTATAGAAATAAAAAATAAAAAATACATATTTAAAAACTACATCAAAAGTTTAACAAAACAAGTGGTGACAAGAATATTTTATTTTATCATATAGACCATGAAAAAACACAAATAAATATAAATTCCCGTGAAGTTGGAATAGTGCTCTGAGAAGATCATTATAGGACGGAGGGAGTATTTTTTTTCAAAAAAATAAAATGAAATAATCACTGTTTAAACATGATAAGGCGGTATTTATTGGTGATGGAAAGCTTAATATGGAAGGGATGGAGACATAATTCCCAAATTGGTTAACTCTTTAATTTGCATCATTAAAATTCAAAGCATGGGATGATTAAAGTGAGGTTTTGGTGAGATTTCAACGTTGATGCTAATTTCATCCAAATATGATAATACAATCAACTTGGGTAGCTTGCCTTCTTTAGTTCACACTAACCTTTTTTTTAAATTTTTTTTGCATCGAATAGAGTATAGGCATTTGAGTGGCATTACCTAAGCTTTTCCAAAATAGCCCTTGTGTTATTTCAAGTTTTTCACTATTATGCTTTTTGTTACACCAAGGGCATCTACATTTTAGAAAAATGAAATTATTGATTCATACACTTGCACACAAAAACCTAGTATGTAGGTGTTTATCTGTATTATTTATAAGTTTGTCAAAATTGTTTATAAGTTATTTTAAACTTATAAATCAGTTGATGATATATTATTCTGTGCTTATAAGCTGTTTATACTCAGAAAATATAAGTAGGTTCTACATACTTATTTTTAAGCTAGTTTTTTCATTTCTTTGTTTTGACTAGATTATTTACAAAATTATTACTCATCGTTTACAAATATTCACAAATGACTTATCGATCATTTAAGTCATTTTACTTCCATGAAAGAATATTTGACTTATAATCGACTTATAAGTAAAAAATTGCTTATAAAAAACAGGCTGATAAGCACCAACACAGAGAAACATTCTTATAGATAATAATATTATGAACCTACTATGTATCATTTAAACGACTGTGTTAGAAATAGTGACATCATTTTGATCTCAAACATTACAGTGTCACACACAAGCAGTACAGGTTGTGCACACAAACCCTTAATTTCTATGTGTGTATGTGTAATGTCTATAGTCAAAATCATGGTAGTCAAACTCGCGAGTTGAATCTTATGAGTCTACGAGTCTGAGGATCGCCGGAAGCTTCCCGATCCGAGACGGATGTAGAATCGCGAAATCCAATAAGATCGTCTAGATCGGCGATTCGGCTCGTGAAAATGCAGGATCGCATACAATCGCCGATTATGAGAAGCCCAAACAGCGTCGCTTCAAAATCTTCTTCCAATCGCAATTTGAAGTTGTCGGGAATTGCAATTGGAAAGTCGCGTCTGTCGCGACTCCCAATTTCAATCGAAAACCAGTGTATCTTCTTTTATTTGTTCCCAATTTCAATTAGAAACCAGCGTAAATAGCTTATCTTCTTCTATATAGAGTATTTGGGAATCGAGACTCCTACTGCCAATAGACTTTTGGGCTTTTATTTTTTCTGCTTCTGCGACATCCCATCCTCTGTCACGACTTGGGACCCTTACTTCTGCTTATGCGACTTCTAATATCCTTGTGTGTTATGTTTTATTAAAATTTAATTAAAACATTAAACACACACACACAAACATATATAGTAGGATCTTACGATCCGAGTCACGATCTTCATTATGCTTATCAATTTTACGTAGAATCTAGAGTTTGACTACCATGGTCAAAATGGTCAATATTTTGGTATTCTATTAGCATTTTTGTAATTTAAACACCGTTGAGGTCCGAGGGATTGAGATATATGCATCCCTATCCTTCTACTACTTTCGTCCCATAAATAAGTTTCACACATTCTTCTTTTTTCGTCTCATGAAAGGATTTCACATTTCTTTTTTCATTTGTCCAAAAAGGGTTTCAATTTTCACTTTTAGAAAGAAATTTGTGTTCTTTATAGTTTTTCTCTCCCACATCACTTTTACACTATGTTTGGTTCAAGGAATTTGAAAGGGAAAGGAAAAGAAAATGAAGTGGAAAACTATTTTTCTTGTTTGGTTAGAGGGGAAAAGAAAGGAAAAGTGAAAGGAAAAGAAAATGAAAAGGCAAAATGTACCAAGTGGAGAGAAAATCAAATTCCTTCCATTTTGGTGAGAAAAATGAGAAAAAACCATTTTCTTTTCTTTTCCTTCCAAAATCTTTGAGCCAAACATAGTGTTAGTCATATAATTCTACTTTTCTTTATTTCTGTGCCAATTAAGTAAAAGGTTAAACCTTTTTAGAAATGTTGTTTCTCTTATACCTTTGATGCATAGTAAAAATCATGAAGAGTTTATTATACCTTTATGTCTTTATAGTATGCTCAAAATTATATTTTGACCTTCTTTTAGTGTCATGTATCATGTGCTCAAAAGATCACACTATGAAAATATCTCTTTAAATCCTCTCAATGTATACTTGTGATCGATTCGAAATGATTTCGAGTCTGAGTCCAACTTAGTATCGAGTATAAATTTGATTAATTATAGAACAAATGATCGATTCGAGTTTGAATTTGTGATTGAAGACTCAGAAAATAATTTATTTTACTTTATTTTTGCAGGAAAATGTTTTATTTATAGTGTAACATTTGGGTTCGAGTTTGAATTTGTGATTGAAGACTCAGAAAATATTTAATTTAATTTTATTTTTGCAAGGAAAATGTTTTATTTATAGTATAACATTTGGGTTCGAGTTTGAATTTGTGATTGAAGACTCAGAAAATATTTAATTTTATTTTATTTTTGCAAGGAAAATGTTTTATTTATAGTGTAACATTTGGGTTCGAGTTTGAATTTGTAATTGAAGATTCGGAAAATATTTAATTTTATCTTATTTTTGAAAGGAAAATGTTTTAGTTATAGTATAACATTTGGGTTCGAGTTTGAATTTGTGATTGAAGACTCAGAAAATATTTAATTTTATTTTATTTTGCAAGGAAAATGTTTTATTTATAGTGTAACATTTGGGTAATAAACAATGTTCTCTGCTGGTATAGTACTATAGCATATATGGATTGGAGGCACTATGTGTGTGTTGTCAGGTAAGAATCATACGGCGTATTAATTCCATTGTTCCAGCTGTCTTATTAGGCCACACGTTTATACCAATATTAATTTACGGAGTAACAATTACTCCTATTAAAAAAAGAATATACTTGTATTTCTTTCCTTTTTTTCAATTGTTTAAAAAATTCTACGGAGTATTTCACTAATAATTAATTACTCTCTATTAACATATCTATCCCATCATTATACTCATTTATATTCTTTATTGATTTGTTAATCACATATTATTTATATTTTTAAAAGTAAGAACAAAATAGGAAAACACGGAGTGAAACACAAATTGGACCTACTTCAAATATTAATTGTCTCCCAACAGAAGTTTTTTGTGGAATGAGGACAAAATAGGAAAGCAATGTGAGATGTTTGTGTTTAGTATAAGGGGCTCTTTGGTGAGTTCCGCATATATGATAGGATATGAATTTTGAAATTTAGTATGAGTTTCGAAATCTGAAATAGAGTGTACAAGTGATTGTGAGAATCATTGAGAGGGTGTGGGTATTTGGCAGTGCGCTGCTTTTAACAATTTAGCTTCTGCTTTGAGTGGAAGTGATTTTACTCTGTTTGACATGTCAGCTTCTGCTTTTCACTAACATTATTTTGTACATGGAACATCGTTTCGGAGAAGCATGTATGAGGAAAGAACTTTTTGGCTCACTGGTCATTAAGGGCAACCGCATCAGAACTAAAGGGAGGAGTATTCTTCCTTCTCTCTCCCATGTCATCTTTTTTGGGGCCTAATACCCAATTTTTTTTACCTCTCCTCATTTCTTACATCAAAAAGACTATTAAACTTTTATTATTTCTTATATACAAAATTAAACTCAACCCATTTATATAACTAAAAATTGAAAAAGATTGTCATGGCTTGGAATGAATGGCCAGTCTTTTTCTCTTTCTCTTCCTCTCCGCGGAGGTCGGAGGACCCCCCCCTCCCTGCTTGTCTTGGATGTACTTCTCCTTCCAATGAGCCAACTTCTCCAGGAGAGGTACTTCTCCTCCACCATTCTCCTCCATCCAATGTGGATGGCCTAACCTCCTCATTATTGAGCGCTAATCCTGCCAACAATCAGGTCACCCAATGGTGGAGCGGGATCTGCAATTAAGTCATGGAGATGGCGGGTAAGATAGCGAGATCGCACCGGGCTATGTTCATCAACCTGACTCTTTATGTCTGACTGGGCTCAATAGAGGAGTTATATTCTGGATCATCTCCTGTAATGGTCATGCAGAAATATGACCGGTGACTTTTTGGAAAAGGTTTGACCGGTCATTTTCCCTGACTTTCAGCGTCTTCTCAAACACCATCTATTTTTATATCCATCAAAAATTATTTGAAAGATTTAAAATCATGATTTGATTAGTGATTGCCAGTGATTGCTGATAACGGGGATGATTGACGGCGACAGCGATAGTTAGTGGTGGGGTGTGGGGGCTCTGGGGTGGGCATTCAACCTTATTTTAGAAAGGTAAGGAGTATTAATTAGAGACATATGGTCAATGAACACAAATTAATAGAAATTTTCTATGTTATTATCTTCATTTAACACTCAGCATTTCATTGGACAGCGTTATATGTTACTCTATTAGCCTCATTCCCACAGATATTATGATACTTCATCCGTCCGGAAATATTCTTTCCATTTGATTTTTCACGGTTTCTAACATTAAACTTGGACTATTAATATTTATATTTATACATAGATATATTTTATAAGAATTTAAATTTGAAAACAACGTTTCAATAGAAATATATTGATATTAAATTTATATAATAATACAATGTATTTTTTCATATATAGGAATCAACTTTTTCAATCTTTGACTAAGAAAAATAAAATCAGAAGAATTTTTCCGGACGGAAGGAATATTAATGTGGACGATAAAATCAATTAGGTATCAAGTATCCAAAAAATTACTTCCGAGTACCCTGAATCTTCTGGAAATAACTCCAGGTCCCACATCATCTCAAATATATACTCCGAGGTATTCTCGATTTTTTTGTTAAGAACTTTCAGGTCCCATATTATCTAAAATATACTACAGAGTCCTTAAATAATAATATACTCCAAAGGTACATTCTCTCAACTTAGGCGGTAGATTAAAAATTATTTTACTTTGACAAATTGAAGAACTTTTGTTAAATTTAATAAAATAATGACTATCAATGTAAAATTTAGTTGATGGGCCGATATCCAGAGGACGGCCCAAATGAACCATTTAAACAGCTTCGGGTCAAGCACCTGTGAAATACTTAAGCTGGGCCGGCCCAAGGAGCTGGGCCTAGTTAACCTCAGGCCAAGCGCAGCTGGCAGAGTCAGTCCGGAGAAGGAGACGGAGCTGATTGGCCGTTACGGAGCCGGGAAAAGGGGATCGCGCCCTTGGCGGGCTAGACTCCATCGGTTATGCTTCACCTTAATTGTTGAGAGCTCGTGTATAAATAGGAGGGACCCGAAAGGGGAGAAAGGAAAAAAAAACTAAATCAAGCTAGTAATACACATCCAATTCTCGAATTCTTGTTCTTAATTTTATTCTTGCGATCCGCTCTGTAAATCGGATCATTTGGTGGATTTATTGTCCATCAAATTGGTGCTCTCGTTGAGAGTTCGAGAATCATACTCGGAAGAAATCCTCCACAACGACGATGGTGCAAACACGTAGCAACGCCAACGTAGGTACCGGAGTTCCCCAACAGGGGGAGAACAGCGCCACCGGAGGTCGGCACCCCCCATCACCACCGGGGAGGCTGAGGCCCTCATTCAGAGGGTTGGGATCACGACCGAACAATTCAAGGAGGTGCTGGCCGCACTTGCGCCCAACCGCGAGGTAGTGGTGGGAGATGTGGCTGGGGGACCCACAGGCGAGAAGGCTGGACCTGCGGGNAGCCGAGCTGTGGAAAATGTACGAACAACTGGAGAAGCGGCTGGATGCCCAGAACCCCTATCGCCAGGCGGTCTTCAGTGAGGTAACGCCCTTCTCCAGGAGGATAATGTCCTGCCCTCTCCCAGATAATTTCAAGACTCCCCAGATCAAGGCATACAATGGGACGACCGATCCCCAAGACCACCTCGCTCGTTTCGGGGCCAACGTGGTCATGTACGCATATCCAGAAGAAATCAAGTATCGGTGCTTCCTGGCGACACTGGAAGGGCAGGCTTGTGAGTGGTTTCACAAGTTACCCAAGGGGTCGATAGATAAGTGGGGCGACCTGGCCCACAAGTTCTTGGAGCACTTCGCGTCCAGCCGGAGACAAAAGCTCCCCTTCTCGCATTTGCTCAATGTGAAGATCTGGAAGGGGGAACAGCTCCGGGAGTTCATTAATAGGTGGGAGAAGGAGGCTAGGGATGTCCAAGGGGCGGACGACCAAGCCCTGATCGCCATGCTCCAAGCTGCACTCCCCCAAGGTGATGTGCGTAAGGAGCTGCGATGGAATCCTCTCTCGACCTATCAAGAGATGTTGGCCAGGGCGAAGTACCTGGCGCTGGAAGAGGAAGATGATGAGCCACCAGTCCGGAAGGAGAAGAAAAGCGGGCCACCGGTGGCAGAAGGGAAGAAGAGGAAGGAATATGGTAAGGGGCCGAACCCCACAGGGTATCATGCGAACAGGCATCCCGTTCACGCGGTACAGTCGTCGCCGGCCCCTCCTCATGGTCGGGAAAGCTATGGTGTGCAAGATGCACCCAAATACTGCGAGTACCACCGTAACAGCACCCATAACACGTCGGAGTGCGTTACGCTGAAGAAGGAGATGGATCAGCTGATCGCTAGAGGGCCACCTCCTCGGTCAGAGCGACCGTCCACAAGTAACCGGACCTGGAGGAGGCCGCCAGCC